GGTGATAAGGTTGTTTTGTAAAAAAACTTAAATACATACCTTTTGGGGTGGGAGTGATTCCAGTTTTTTGGGGGGGTACCCTTCATATACCAAGAACTTTATATCGAGAAGCAACTTTACATCAACAAGGTGCCCCAACCCAGTCCAGCTCTAGACGTAGGGTCATTGCTAGTCAGGGCTCTCTTCAGACTCACCTAGCTGTAGGCCAAAGATGCTGAAGCGGGAAGCAGTAGGGAATCACAGGCCAGGGCTGCAGAGGCACACGTATCAAAAGTCAGTGGAAACATGGCAGGGGTCCCAACAGCTCTCAGGGTTGAGGGGCCCACATGGGTCTACCCCTGGAGACATGCACAGAGTCCCAGCAAGCAGGATGGCAAATGGGCAAGGGAAACAGTTCACACTGCCTCTCACTCTGATGCCAAAGGTCACACCCCAAGGAGGTGTCATCAGGCTACTTAATTGACAGGTTGGGCTCCACCTGATACAAGTAGCATCAAGTTGACATGAAATCTAACTGCCACACAAGCGATTGGCCTTGCCAGCAGAGTGCATTGGGAAGTGGATTAATGCAGATATAGTTAAGCACCTTATTATTTGTTCTCCCTTTGACTCATTTTAAATTTTCTCTAGTTTTTATTATTTTCCGCTTTCTTTTAGGATTGAAGTGTTTCTGTGGGTTTTTTGATTTGTTGTAGGGGAGGAGGTTGTATGATTTTCTTTATATGAAATCCAGGATATGCAAATCTATAGAGACAAGAACTGGATTAATAGTTTCTTAGGAAAAGAAAAAAAAAGTTTCTTAGGGTATGGCAGGGGAAGTTGGGGAGAAATGAGGATCTAATAGTACAAGAATGAAAAACAGGTTCTAAACTTAATTGTGATGATGATTACACAACTCTTTTTAAAAAAATGTTTAAACCTTTGAATTGCATTGTATGTGAATTATATGTCTATAAAACTTAAAACGTTAAACAATAATAATAATTAATTTAGAATATGGCTCAGCAGTTGTACTCTGAGGTATGTAACTAAAGGGATTGAAAACTAACAACATGAATGAATGTACCTACAGCAATATTTACAATAGCTGAAAGGTGGAAACAGCCCAAATACTCAACAACGAATGAAGGATAAACAAGACTAATAGCTACAAAGGTGCTTCAAAGAATTCATGGAAATACGGAATTAAAAGATAATGGGCTTTTTTCATGAACATTTTGCAGCCCCTTCATCTGTCTTAATTTTTAGCTGTTGATGAATTATCTCCTGACTTTTAATAACCCTGTGCAAAACAGAATTAAATGCTTGTGCCATCCCATGAATGGTGACAATTAGATCATTGTGACCAATAGGGCTTTCACTGGTTGATTTTCGTCATTTAAATTTCTCCCCCATTGGTAGATTTCCAGGTTTGTCTTAGAAACAAAGATTCAAATTAAAAAGGAAGCAGAATAATAATATTTTTACTACTGAACCACTAATGCCCTCTCTTCGTAGGGCTGCCATAAAAAAACACCACAAAACCGGGTAAGGGGGCTTGAAGAGCAGAAACTGGTTAACTTGTACTTTCGAAGCTCATCTGAAAATCTCATTGCCATTGAGTTCATTCCAACTCATAGCAACCGTGTAGCACAGAGTAGCACTGCTCCATATGGTGCCCAAGGCTGTAGTACACTAGTACTGACGCAATCTTCTGAGGAGCAGCTGGTGGGCTAGAACTGCTGACCTTTTCCTTAGCCGTTGAACAAGTAAGTACTGCACCACTAGAGCTCCTTGAAGGCAAGGAATACAAAATCATTGTATCAGTAGGACCACTCTCGTTTGTCTATTCTAAGGGCAGATTCTTCCTTGGCCCTTCTGTCTTCTGGTCACCCAGGGCATTTCTTGGCATTCCTTGCATTGCCACTGGCTTCCTCCCTCACAGCAATGGGGACTCATCCGACCTGAGTATGACCGCATAAACCTGATTTCCCCAGTCCAGATCACATGCCCAGGATTTCAGTGTATCCTTTTAGAGGACACAATTTAATCAGTAACAACATATAGTAAACATATTATTGAGCCATGAAAAGGAATGAAATATGCTACATCACGGACAAGCCTAGCAACATCATGTTCAGGATCCCAAACTTCTTTGACTTACCCAATTCAAACTTTTGTTCTGTAGTCCACAATTCAGGATAAAGTGTAGGTATCTGCTTTTGCAGCCCCCCTACCCCCACCCCACCCTGATGGTTCTAGTGCCTCCTAGTGGGCAGGATTTCCCCCTTTGGGAAACATTGTGCTGTATAAAAGAAGTCAGCCACAAAAGGTCACACACCCTATGATTCCCGTCCTATAAAACACCAGAGGAAGTACATTCATAAAGACAGAAAACTTCCTGGTGTTGGGCATTTGTGGTGGGCCAAAAGTGTAAGTAAAAATGGAAACCAGTTACAGTTTGAGTTGGGGAGAGATTGCACAAGTCATGGTGGCTATGGTTGGTCTTAGGAGACAGGGAATGCCCTTTCACACGAATCCATACGTAATGGAGCACCTGAGTGGCTTTTAAGTAGGAAGAAAACATTGTGAAAGAAGATTTGGGAATGTCATCATTTTTAAGGAGGACCTAGCTGGTCAATGACCAGGTCAGAGGACACTGATCTTGAAAATTCCCTGGTGTGAAGTTGTAAGGGCCTGGCCTGCAGAAGAATCAGTGGAAATCATAGTTACACTCAATGCTTGTGATGTGCCGGCTGTGTGTTTTGTGCGATTTAACTCATTTAATGCTCATAGGAAACCCTGTGAGATAGTAACTCTTGTTTTCCCTCACTGTACAGATAAGGCAACACTCAGGGTGGCTGAGAAACTTGTCTAAAATCACACAGCTGCTCATGTGGCCTCAATGTGAACCCAGATTACACCCCCTACCATTAAACTTACAACACCAAGATGAAAGGAACAGGCTGTGGAAGTCCACTCACTAGCTGTTGAGGCTGAGGCAGAGAAACGGGGGACAGGAGGACGGCTGGTGGAGTGAAGCCCATTTGCTTGGGGTAGCCCAAATCGGGCCAGGTGGTGCCAGCTGCATCTTCCAAGCAGAAATGTCTGACTGGCATTTGGACCTTTGGATTAGAACTCTTGGCTAGAGTCAAATGCTCAGGGGAGGCCACATAGGGACTTTGAAAAGTGCTGTGTCACCCCACTCTTTCGACCTTACTGCTGCTCCAGCATAACCTGTCTCACCTTTGTCAGAACCATCCAGCTGCATCCACAGGCAGCCTGAATTGTTAGGAAATTAGCTCATCTCCCAAAACCGCTGGTCCTTATCTCCCCCCCACCGGGGTGATTTGTCCCCCAGAATGACCCTAGAAGTAGGCGTTGATGATATGGAGTGAATTGTCTTAGCTTTTTTTCCTGTTTTGTTTTTGACTTACAAATCCTCTAGTTCTGCACCATTTAGGCTATAAAATGTCCCCTAAGGTGCCATGGTAGTGCCATGGTGATTGTTAATCACCAGGTCAGCAGTTCAAACCTACTAGCTGCTCCCTCTACAAGAGAAAGATGAGGCTTCCGCCTTCTCTAAAGATTTACAGCCTCAAAAATTCCAAAGAGGCCGGGCCCCTCCGCCCTGTAGAGTCAGTCTTTCTGAGTTGGAATTGGCCTGATGGCAGTGAGTTGGACTTGGGGCGCAGGAGCCCGGGTGGCAGTTAAGTGCTCGGCTGCGAATTGCACAGTCAGTGGCTCAACCCCATCAGCAGCTCCATGGCAGAAAAGACCTGATGACCTGCTCTGTAAAGATTATAGCACAGGGGACCCTCTGGGGCATTCTGCTGGTCCTGTAGGGTCACTAGGAGTCAGAATCAGCTCAGCTACAGAATTAAAAAGGGCTGTGATGCAAGATTCTCTATCTGTTGAAGCTTCCTGTCGTGTAGGGTTGGTGGCATTGAAAAGTGGCCTTACAATTAAGGCAGTAGAGAAAGTACAGGAAACAAAAAGACTGTTATGTAGTAAGGGTCTAACGTCACACTCATTTCCCTCTTTTCCTTTAATCCATTCTTGATCTTTTTGAAAGCCTGTTACTGCAATGTTGAAACCCAAAGCTTCATAGAAGTTCCCTTCACCCCCTTTCCAGTTTCATTGGACATTTGCCCACAGACCTGACCACACAAAACCATTCACCAACCACGTCCCTGCCTTTTCCTGCTGATGGACTTTTGTCTTTACTGGTTCCTCGCTTTAAAATCCTCCTCTTAAAAATGAGGAGCTGATACCAAGGGCTCAAGTACAAAGAAAATGTTTTGAAAATGATGATGGCAACAAATGTACAAATATGCTTAACACGATGGATATACGTATGGATTGTGATAAGAGCTGTATGACGCCCAAAAATTATTTTAAAAATAAAATAAAAATAAATTATAAGTAGGTGTGTTAAAAAAAAAATCCTCCTCTTCATTATCCTGTATTGTCAAAAGCTGCGTGGCTTTCAGGACTAAACTAGTGTGCTTTTTCACATGTTCTACCCCTTTGTCCTCAGCAGCAGCCATTGAGGTGAAACTTTACACTCATTTTTCAGATGAACAAACAGGTTCAGTTACGAATCTGTTTAAGATCACAGGAATACTAAGTCATGGAGAAGACCCCAAAGCAAGCAGGTCTATTTTCTCAACACTCATCAAATGCTAGCTGACTTCAAAGCATCTCATTAAAGGGATAGTTGTTATGTGTTCAAGGAGCTCTGTTTGCACAGGGAGTTATGTGCTGGACTGCTAGCCACAAGGTTGGTGGTTCAAACCCACCAACCACTCCAGGGGAGTAAGCTGAGACTCTTGGCTCCTGTAAAGGTTTGTAGTCCTCTGAAACCCTGTGGAACAATTCTACTCTACACTAGATGGTTGCTGTGGGGTGGAATTGATGCCATGGTCTTGGGTGGGTTACGTTATACTGTAGGCTCAAAAAGAACAGACCCAGGAAGCTTTGTTAAACTTTTCCCCCTTATCTTTCCCCTTTGGGTCCAGGTGGAAGTGAAGCCATATGTGCTGGATGATCAGATGTGTGACGAGTGCCAGGGCACACGCTGTGGTGGGAAGTTTGCCCCATTCTTCTGTGCCAACGTCACCTGTCTGCAGTATTACTGCGAATATTGCTGGGCGAGCATCCATTCCCGTGCCGGTCGGGAGTTTCACAAACCGCTGGTGAAGGAGGGAGGCGATCGTCCTCGCCACGTCCCGTTCCGCTGGAGCTGAGCGCAGAGCAGACCCAGCCACAAGTACTGGAGTAGACAACAAGGAAGGAAAAGAGAGGGCACTGCCTCCGGGCTTTACAGTGTTCTGGAAATCTGTGCATTCGTTCTCAATTTTTAAAGAAGAAATGGGTCTTTTTATTATTATTATTATTATTATTTACAGTCATATTACTGAACTCAGTGTCCAGTATAATGCAGAACTGCAGAGTGTATAACGGTACTGATTTGCACTTTGATTCAAACCTTTGTCTGCTTGATACCTTAATTTCTTACACCTGACTTGTCACTAGTGACAGTTTGTAGACCGCCATTCTCATCAGCGGCCATCAGGTTGATGTCTGTGATTTTTGTTTGTTTGTTTGTTTATTTGTTGTGTTGTTCTGACTGTTTCTGAACTGGCGCATGCACTTATTTTCAGAAGCATAGAGAGTTGCCGCTAGGAGAAGACTTACCAAAGGTAATACTCGAGAGTAGGTGGCAGATGTAGCAAAAACTTTACAACAATTCAGCAATCATTAGTTGGAGTCATTTAGAGTAAGAATAACCCTTACTCCCTTACTGAAAATAATCCCTAGTTGCTGTGTTTTGACTTGTCAGGGTACCTCATGAGCTGCATCTTTATTTTTCCTTCACGTTGGTTTTTGATTTGCTGAGGATGTTGGTTAGATCTTTTAGTGTTATGTGAATTTATGCTGCAATAGCTTTTGCTGCTATTAAAATGGTATTATTAATACCATAATCCTTATTCAGGCTAAGGTATCAATTGAAAAAAAATCCAACAACACACTTCTGTGACTGAGGGTCCGAGTCAGCTACCGGAAGGAGAGCAGAACAGACCTCAGAAAGCTTCAGCGGAAGGTCAATATTCCTGACTGCATGTTTACTTAATCAGGTTGCTGCATGCAATAAATTTTATATCCACTGTCTAGTATAAAACCTTCCCACAATGCACAAATTAAGAATCTATATAAGCTATATAAGCTATAAAATACTCATTTTTTAAAAAAAATTTTTTTCATTCAAAAATTGGTAATTGACTGGAGGAAGGCATGCCTCAGTAAATGGAATGCTTCTGACATTAGGAAGAGCCCATAACAGAATGACCTCTGTTACAACCAATATACAACCTAGGTGTAGGGTATTCTTAAAGCAAAATTGTGGATGGTAGATTTAAGTACTTTGCGGTGCTCTGTTATATAGTGTGCAATTTATTTTATATAGTAAAGTGATTATGTCTAACTGTGATCAAATAACTGTTTAAAAGCCTCTGTGTCAGACATTGACAAATTTGACAGTTCATAACTGGTATCTTACTAACACATGAGCTCTTAGTTACAATCTCCTAGTGCTTGCACCATTTTACATAGCTTCAGACCTTGTCCAGAAAACCAAAGAGCTCATCTTAGCTTACAAACACTAGGAATATGTACAGTATCTAGAGATCAGTTGTCAGATTGACAAACTAGGCACATTTTAAAGAACGTTGGGAAATGGTGATGCTAAAGAAATGTCTGTGCACAGTAAGGTGATCTGGGCAGAGTTGGTTGTCTGGGTGTGAAATTAACTACTTACTTAATCCCCTGGATTTATCCTGTAAAGCTTGAATAGAATTAAGACCTGCTAGCACTACCGTGGACATTTTTTAGCATTCACTCTTGGGCTACAGATAGTAATATATAACACACACAGTGGTTGTGAGACTATGTAAATCTCTTTTTACCTGCTTCCTCTGGTTTGGAATTCTGGGGACAATCTGACTGGGTGCGACACTGCAGACTAGATTTCCAGTGCTGTTTCATGTGCTGTGATGTCCCGGTTCTGTCTTAAGTTACACTTGCTGGCCTTTGTTTAGTTTTGTCTCTCCACTGTTTCGTTGCAATCGCCAGTTCTCAAACTATAGTTTGTTTTCAAAAAGGAAAAACAAAATAGTTTTTTACTGGATTAAAAAAAAATGCTTCTCAGAATTCTCCCCGTTTGCGGTTCTCCGGGCCTTCTGGTGTTACCGCCTCACGCGGCCCACGCGCGGTGCTTCTGCTCGTTCCTTTTGTCCGTGTCTGTGGTTTCTTCTTCGGTGTGAGAGATTTTGTTCTGCACGGCTACTTTTTGTATTCTAGACAGTTTTCAAAAGTTGGCTGAAGATTATTGTTTGTTTGTTTTTAAGGAAAAAGGCATGCTTTCTGACTGACATGATCTTTTGCAATACCTCAATTTTGAAATATAGGAAAGAAAATGATATTTTCTAAGTAAGTTTATTCAGAAAAATATATATTAATTTAATTCTGCAAGAAAAATGATTTAACAGATGGGTAACTTTATTTTTTTCATGCTTATTTGTGTTTTTTGAAAATGAAGTTAGAGCTTTATAACTATAATATTAAAGATCATATCTAACCTACAGAAATCTACCTAATTATGTGAAAGAAGCAAAACTTTTTGAAGAAGCACCCCTCTTTCATGTATTAAAATAATACGGAGAGATTTTTAAAAAGCTGGAAGATTATACAGAATAAAGCTAAAGTACAGGTGAAAGCAACAACAACAACATTGTCATGAAGAATAGGTTACACAAACTAACTCCATTTGGTGCTGAAAGTTGTGAATAGATGGTGGAAACTACTTTCCCTTAATTTGTATATTTATAATCAAGCGTTGATTGTGCACGACTGACCAGGATTGTGAAAGAGTTCTTCTGTTTGTATTTTTTTAAAGAGAACTTTTTTAGTTTATTAAATTATAACATGTTCCCTTTTGTTTTGTAAATAAATGTGCCCCCAAGTTGTTATTGTTATATTAAAGAGAGGGTCCTTCAAAAAAATTATTTTTAAAACACAGAGGTGTTCTGACCTGCAACTTGACTGGGAGCCCCTGGCAGCACAGTCCTGTTGTGGCCTTCCCTTGGCGTGACACTTGAACTAGTCGGTTTTTTGAAGGCTATCACTTAACCTCGACTATTTGTTGTTATGTGCAATACTGTTTGTACTGTTTGTATAAAAAATAGAAAAAAAGAAAAGAAAAAAGGCATAAATCTTTATTGCAGATTTATTTTCATTGCAAACTTTAGACATTGTGATTCACTGAGATCATTTTTCTACTGTCAAATACGTACCTTTCTCCATGCTGGTATTTTTTCAATAGTAATGTAGCCTTTGTACGGAGACAAATTTTCATTGTTATTTTTAGAAAGATTTTTTGCTAAGAAAAAAAATTAAACATATTTACATATTTTTCATTTTATTTCGTATTTTCTTTAAGGAGTGCTTTCTCAATCATTAATAGAGTTGTTTCTGGGAGGGACTTTCATATCTGGTCAATGTCATGATATTATTTTGTATTTTTACTTGGAATAAATTAATTTTTGATGCTAATTCTTTAAAAGTTTATTTTTTTCATTTTCAGTTATTTTTGAAGCTAAAACCTTTGTAATACTGTTACTAAAGTGTCTAGTTTTTTGAAATGCAAAGCTTTATGTATTAACTTGCTGATGTGGTTTACAATAGTGTGACAACGATGAAAATGGTTGGTTATGTAAAGTGATTGGAAAATGTCCTGGATCATTGGGTAATAAAATGACAGAATGAAGCAGAACATGTGAGATTTTGACAAGCCTTTTCCTTTATTCTAGTGGTCTCATAGAAGACCAGGGACGTCACAGTACAGTTCTCTAGGGGCAGCACAGTGGGTTTATACACCACCAGCTGCAGCAAAACCTGTGGCCCTGACAGTGACGTCACCCCTGCAGAGTAACCACCAGGTTGCTCACCTGGATAGGTCAGCAGAATATTTCATGGCTTTTCCCCTCTCCCTCTTCATTTTGGTGTGTGTGTGTGTGTGTGTGTGTGTGTGTGTGTCTGCCACCAACTGCTGTCTTGTGTGAGACGTGCCTTTCCCCCAGGCCAAATCTTTTACATGCATTTACAGTGGTGGCATCAAAGGGAGTGGCGGAGAGGACTCTGTGTTGTTTCCTGGTGGTAGGCACCACTGACAGTGATAGCCCCCACGTAAGGCCGGGGTTGCTGTACTGGGAAACACAGGCAAGGTCACCACTGTATGTGAACAGTGTGGGGTCATAGCCTCTCTGCCCCCTCTCCCCACCCATGTGCCTCTTACTGTGCTAACACATTTGGCCATTCCACACATGCTCTGTCTGCCCTCCCACTTCTTGTACTCCAACACCCACCCCACCTTGAAGCTGTCATTGTCAGCGTCATGGCACCAAAAAACCCAAACCGAACAACTGCAAAACTGGTGTTGCGTAAACAGAACGGCCAATGACTCGCTCTAGATGGACTGTGTGTTTCTATGTCATTGATGGCCTTTGATGCTCCCGCTGCCCCGGAGGCGAGGTTATCAATAACTCCGAGAAATGCGTGTCCAGAGGTGGCTCTTGGGTATGCTCTATGTATTCAGTTTTGTAAATAACATATAGATTAGGTCAAGTTGTGATGTAAAATTTTAACTCAAATTGGCGACGACTGGTTGGAATTTTACATTGACTTCAGATAAATGATTAGGAACAGAAGAAAAGAAATTGGAAAATTCTTGCTTAGTGATATAAAGATTATGCTTAGATTTCTGCCTATATCTTGTGTTTTATAACTTGTAGTGAGGCATGGGCTAATGCAGAATGTACTGCATTTATGCAATTAGCAAATATCTGCTAGTTTTCATTTTATCTATATATTAGCAACAAAAAAATCAGCATTTTACTGGGTAAAGCTCCTACCTAAATATTTCAGTATTGTGACATCTCTACTTGCAAGGTCTGAGTGAAAGATTAGTCACAGATTAGTGAAAAAGAAAAAGTATCTGTTTGTTAAAACTGGCTTCTTTGTGCTTTTTTACACTCAATCGATCAATCGTATGGTATGCCAGCTAACGTTCTGTTTGTGTTTTGCCTTTCCTTTGTTTTCTTTTTCATTTAAATAACCCAACTTCTCCCTCGGCTGCAATAGTGTCCCATCTACCACTGAGTATTCTACAATTACTGCTGTTGACTTGACTGTATACCCCCAAAGGTGTCAAGTAGTGGATCATGTGATTTGGGATATTTATATTTGTATGATGATGAAGTTAATCGCAACAAGTGGAAAACTCGGGTGCTAAATCCAGGATAATGGTCTGCTAGTTGTCATTCCTGGCTATAGTTCAGTTGGGGTATAAAGTCCTAGGTATTTGTATTTTTGCTGTCAAAATAATGCACATAACTTTTATTAGAGTGTTCACAACTAAGATCTCTGTATTTGTTTTTCAACTAACAGCTACTTTTTAATGTATTGTATCTTTTACCTGTTCTCTTAGATTGTTTTTTGCTAGTAAACCTTACTCAGCTTCTGCCATTTGGGCTTGGACTAATATTGCTTTGTATGGATCTGCAGTACTGTGACTAAACTTGGAGCTTCATGCAGCTATCGCTTACAACTGCTTAAACTTTGTAGTTTGGACTTCTTTTACTTTATTTTTTCTGTAACAACAACTTATTAAATCTAGTTGTATGAAGTACTGACACTTGTCATCCTTTGCATTTGCCAAGGAGTAGTCTGGATTGAGTCTGTGGTTCGCACCTGGGAACACTGGACATTCCACTTTGCTAGCTTTAAGAAGGACGACGCCAACAACAAATCCCATCACAGCCGATTCACACAGTGGCATTCACCTTTGCACGGACACACACTACCATGAAAAGCACACGCATCTCAATCAGGAAGCTATTTATTGACACAGCGCGTGTGTTTTCCATGCAAGGTTGTTAAAGGTGTGGTTGACTTTTGCCTTTAAAACACTACAAACGCCCGCAGTTGCCACGTGAAGTCGGTTATCAAGAATCACAACCCCCAGAGCCAATAAAAGCGGAAGCAGGCCGCCTGGGCTTTGTGTTCGCGTCGGGCTCCCTCGGTGCGTGTGCTTGAACGCCCTGCCGGTGTGGCCGCACCTCCGGGATGGAGAGCTTTGCGGGCACGTGGGCGCGCGCGCGGGGGCGGCGGACGCGGGGAGGCGGGGCGCGCGGGCGGCGCCGGGAGCCGCGGTGGGCGGGGCAGCGCGCAGCGTCCTTTCGGGCTCCCCCGCGGGCCTCCCGCCGGGCTCGGACGCCCGCCCGCCGGTCCTAGCGTAGGCTACGCCTGCCGCGCTCCCCGGGCGCAGGTGGGGGGACGACCGGGCGAGTCGGGACCCAGCCTGCCGCCTGCACCCGACGGGCACGACCGCTCCGCCTGCTGCAGCAGCCCTCCAGGTAAGGCTACCGGGAGTCCGGCCGCCTGGCCTGCAGGGACCTGGGGTGGGCCGGCGGAAAGGGCCTGACGGGCGGCACCTGCGGGGAGCCGGCCGGCTGCTCTGGTTCGCGAGGCCGGGGTAGCCTTGCCTTGAGAAGAGACGAGGGGCTGCAAATGAGCCGATGTGGACGGCAGCGTTCGCGCGCGGGTGGAAAGGTTCTGGTTCTCGGAGGGACAGGGACGCAGGGACGTGCACGCAGCTCGCCTGGGAACCGGGGCCTCCCAGGAGCGACGACGAGTGGCCTGGCGCTAACGCCTGGCGGTGCACGCCGTCCCGAGGATTTTCTTGGTTGGAAGCAGTTCAGCAGGCCTCTCTTCCACGTCACAGGAACCCTGCTGATGTACTGGTTGGGCTGTTAACCACCGGGTCAGCAGTTCGAAACCACTAGCTGCTCCTGGGGAGAAACACGGACATTCTACTCCTGTAGAGTGCCAGCCTCCTCCTCGTTATGGGTCATTAGGGTACTGCAGTACTGACTCGATGGCAGCGAGTTTAGTTTGGGGGTTACGGCCCCTCCCGGGAGCAGAGTCCTCAGAACGGCCTGTGTTCTGTAAACTCCTTTATACAGAATAATTAGCTGTTATTGACCAAGGACAGTCACCACCAAGGACTTGTTCCATAGACCTCCCACCTTTCAGGTAACTGAAATGAACGTTGAGGCTTTTATTCCAAACCTCAGAGCCCTAATGGAAAAGTGGCTCACTGCTCTGCTGCTGACCCAAAGGTTGGGTAGTTCAAACCCACAGCCTGGCCACGGAGCACGATGTGACCGTCTGCTTCCAGGAAGACTGTTGTTCATTGTCCTTGAGTTGGCTCCAACCCGTACTCTTACGTACAGTAAAGAGCTGCCTTGGCTCGCACCACCCGCACAGTTGTTAGTTTTGGACCCAGGTGGCAGCCCCTGCCCAAGGTCTTCCTCCTCTTGGCCTGACCCTCATACTTGACCAAGCATGATGTCCTTCCCCAGGGACGAGTCCCTCCTAATAACATATGCAAAGTATGTGGAAACCCTCCTCGCTGCCACCGAGTCGATGCTGACTCACGGTGACCTATAGGGTGGGCTACTGCCCCTTTGAGTCTCCGAGAGTAACTTAATGGGAATAGAAAGCCCCATCTTCCTCCCAGGGAGTGGCTGGTGGTTCCGAACTGCGACCCTGCAGATCTCAGCCCGATGAGTAACCACCACACCTCCTCCAGGGCTCCTAGGCAGAAACCTTATGGGGAGGGGGGGGGGGGAGGAAGGAAGGAATGGAAAAGAAGTGAACTCCACGGGGGCGTTCTTTGCTGCCTCTACAGTTGCTAGGGGTCAGAATTCACTCGGCGGCAGCAGGGTTGGTTTCCTTTCTGTAAAACCCCTACTGCAGACAATGTACTCTTTCCACATTCAGAAGTATCCTGAGATTTGGGAAATGCCTTAAGACGTTTCCTTGTGAAAGCACACAAACAGAGAAGCACCCAACAGCCCAGAGTGCAGGGTGCTGCGCTTCCACGGAAGGA